TAGAAAGGACTGGCAACATATAAATAGGGAAACAAACTAAAGATAATTATGTGTTAACTGAAGCCAAAAATGAAAATGTCTAGTTTTAATGCTAGTGACCGTGCCCCCAGGCCCTTCACCTGCTGCCTAAATGACAGTCTCTTAAATTATGTGGTATGGTTTTTTATCTTAAAAGAGCAATTACAGATTTCTGACCATTCATTCCTCAGACTACACTTCTGTTTCTTATCAATGGGCACACTCAGCTGAGATTGAGGCTCTTCTCACTAAAATCACTGCTTTAGAGCTCGCTCGTTGTTATTGCAATTCAGACTCTCATAGCGCAGAGCTCTCTGAAATGAGGCACCAATTACTGAAGCTCCTTAATCAGGCTTCTCTCAGAGCATGAGACCACTTCTTAAAAGTCTTCCATGAATATGCTAATAAATGTGGGGCCCCTCTTGCTCAAATGTTAAGTTCTATATTGTGCCGTTACAACATACTCACGTTAAACTCTCCTTCCAAGGTCTTGGTCCATCGTAATACAGACTTTCTCTCCACCTTTCGTGATTTCTATTCAAGCTTATACAACTTCATAAGTTTGCTGGCTTATCCAAAGATGACAAGATCTCTAAAATGTTATCTTCAATATTCTACTTCTCCTTCCTTACCCTCTAGAGTCCTCACTTTCTTAAATCCTCCTTTTATGGAAGAGGAATTATCTACAGCTATTAAATCGACATCCGATGGAACAACCCTTTGCCCAGATGGTTTTACTAATAGATACAATAAATCCTTTCAACTCTTTTCTTTCCTGCTTAGATCCTTTAATGCCATCTCATCCTCTTCCCCTTTTCCCTCTGAGGCCTTAGAAGCCTATATCACTTTATCTTTAAACCAGGCAAGGATGGTACTGAACCAGAAAATTAAAGACCGATTTCCTAATTAAATTGTAATATCAAACTTACTCCAAACTGAAAGCCAACCGTATCCAGTCCCTTCTCCCTCTCCTGATTCATACCAATCAAGTCAGGTTTGTTTCTCACTATGAGGCTTGGGACAACACCATGAAGACCATCCACCTGATCTCTTATGCCCATAAACGTAATATCCTTCTTTGCCTTTTCTCGGTTGATGCCAAGAATGCATTGGATTGGGAGTTCATGGAACAGTCTCTTGATCATGTGGGTTTTTGCTCTCATATTATAAATAAGATCATGACACTCTATAACTGTCCCTCAGCCAAGGTCCACACTAATGGTTATTTATCTGACAGCTTCCCCATTTCCAACAGAACAAGGCAGGGTTGTCCCCTTTCTCCCTTGCTCTATGTCATTGTGATGGAACATCTAACTTCAGCCCTCCATAATAACTTGTCCATTCATGGTATCAAATTTACTATTACTATTACTATTACTATATACTATTTTATTTGAACTATATAAAATTGCTTAACACTATTCATTCAGAGTTTAGAAATTGGAACAGTCTGTCTTTATTATGATTTGGTAGAGTCAATGCACTTAAAATGCTGTTGGAACCGATAAAATTGACATCTATGATACGGCTTTGATGCAAAGGTGTTCCTTGATATCCTAAACTGTGTCAGCACGTGCCTGTTTGATACGCAAATGAGGACCATCAAAGGGTTCTTGGGGCTGGAAACTGATGAATGAAGTTCTGCCGGACTGTCATCTCCTGGGGCAAGCCCGACCCCCTGCTGGTATTTACTGCCCACACCTGTGTCTGCAAGGAAGCATACATGCTGGGATGGGGGGCAGAGGCATATGATGGAACCTTCTTCCTGTGTGATCATCTGCACTAAACTAGGTCACAAGCAGGAACAATGGTAACCTTGGTGACCTCTTGGACAAGACAAGTCTTTCTGGACTCTAGAATCAAGACTGTGATTCGCTGAGTCCTGCTGAAGAGGAGTGTTCTGGGCATAGAGAAAAACCCATGGCATGTGTGACTGAGAGTATGTGGTAGCTAGCTGAAGGCTCCTTATCCTTAATTCCTATCCCTCCAAATCCCCTCTCCACTTCCCTTAATTGTAATTAGAATGTATGTATATCCCTATTTGTAAATAAACCCAACACTTATTTAAGATTCAGTTGTTCATCAGTAATGTAAGGCACCTCCAAAGCAGAGCACATTCTACACCTCTATTTCAAATTCTTCCCATTTTGCTTCCTAGAGCCTTCTTCTATCAACTATGTTCCATATCAAGCAAATTTGTCTGGAAATACAGTCTACCTTGAATTTGTTTTTCTACTCTTACATGACATAAAGCTCATGGAGGTACTGGATTAAGACTTAATTTCATATCATAAGATGACTCTACTTGTGCACATCTTGGACTGGTTTCATCAAGAAACTTATTAACAGTGGGTCATGATATAATTTCTTATTTCACCACAAAACCCAAAAGCATTACTATGGTCCCCTGTACTGACTACTGCAGAGATGGGTCAATACCCATTTATTACGGTAGCCATCCTACGGTGCTGTTACCAATCTTTTGATCACTTTAGATGTTTCACATTACTAATTTCTCTCAGAATAACCCACTTTTCCCTCTTGGACTGCATTCTAAGTGCATTGGATCTTGGGACCAAAGGTTTTGGTCTCCAATTGGGCATGTTGCAACAGAGACTTCTTTAATCTCTCCAGCCAAGCTAGCTACCAATTTTTCCAGTGAATCAGTGGTGTGGTTCTTGCATAGACAACCTAAGTCTCTTTCACCCAAGTCTAACATCCACTGCTCCCTTATGACATTTGAATCCTTGTGCTTACAATCCCAATCCTTTCAGATATATCTTTCTTGTATCAGCTCTTACTAAATCACAAGCCTCCCTCTCCCACCCTAGATCAGCTTCAATGGGAAAAAGAACTGTGAGTCTCTATGCTAGTTGATTAATGTCAGAAAGCTTTTGTTATGACCCACTCGCTCTCTATCTCCTGTAAAGTCTAAGAGAGAAATGATAAAATCCTTGCTAGATGGTACCTTTGTCCTTTCAGACTACATACCATTTTTTCCAGACACCCTTATATTGTTGTTGGTGTTCCTTGAGTGACAAAAGGACAATGGAACATTACCTCGGCATTCCTCACCTCTTTACAGTTTTACAACCTTTGCAATTACAGCCTGTTTTCCAAGTGCACTTTTTGAGACCCTTTCTGCAATTTTTAAAACCTCTTTAAAATGTATTACAGTACTTGCATATGTGAACATTGCTCTATTAAGGAAGACTAATTACAGGAAATGTATATCAAGAAAAATTTGGGTTATTATGCTAATTATATAGTTGTATATAAACTATGTTTTATGATTTTTAATGTCTCAAGAGTTTGATTCAGTGCTGGGTTTGAGTGAAGTTTGGAGATGAATAATAATAATAACCCAAATTGACATTTATAATAATATACAGTATTATGTATTATTTTCTTATATTTTGTATAATCTTGAAAAGTGTCCAATTTAATAGTTAGGGGTACTATTTTAAGTGTTTTTAAGGGTAGTGGTGGGGGTAGGAGAATGGAAGGAAAAGACAGAAAATTCATTTTTGTTTTTTCCTTTTTTGTGTACCTATTGCTATTTGACAATTTTTCACAGAAAGAAAAAAAGACAGCAATAAAGTAGCATAAAAGAGTTTAAAGTGACAGCAACACAACTATTACTTGCTCCAATCCTTTTAAAGAAGTCAATATGCTAAGATAAGCAGGAAAACACAGATATAAAGAACACACTGCAAAGTAGCACGGTAAAGTTTTACTATAAAGGCATGTAAAGAAATTATATTATTTCCAACAGTCTGCATAGTGAAATTTGAGGGTTATTTTAATGAAATTTCGGTAAAGCTAAAGATGTTATTTCATGGTGAAATGAATTTCTTCAAAATCACTCTGCCCATCCCTAGTAGCATTTTATTTCTACCAAGAGTTCAGCTTTGCAGTACACTCACATTTAAGCCCATTTGGCTGCCTGTTTTTTGGATGTGATTCACATACATATTTTCTGTGATAATTTCAACAAAGTTTCATGGAAGTAATGAGAATTGAGGGTAGACTTTTCAGGTAAAGAAAACAAGCAATGACAGTCAGCTATTGTAAGAACAGCTAGTTGCTGGTAATGATTAATGAGGGATATGCTAAATAAAATATTTCTGTCATCTTGTTTTACCACATCTTGAACAGTGTAGGAAATAGTTAACACTCCCGGCAGTTTATTGTTTTGATCTCTCTGAACCATTGGGGGACATGGGGGGTGGGGCATCGTAACCTGGAAGCATAACAGTGTGTGGAAATCTCTTCAAAGGGAGGAAAAATCCTCTCTTAAACTGTTGTCATCAGAAAATATGTTGACATTATAACATTAACCCTTTATTCCTGCTGTGGTGGCAGTTGGTGACAATGGTCTCCAGGACACATAGAGAGGGGTTTTCATGGGGTCGATGCACACGTGAGAAATGCAGAAAGTAATAAATGTAGCAAAATCTGCAACAATAAAAAGTTTGTTTTTTTCTCTACGTGTTTGTACTTGTTTTATTGCATGCAAATGTGGAGGGAAAACGTGCATTTGCCTGGCTGCGTTTGGGGTGCCATTAACTGGTCATGACAAAGCAAGCGTGTTTCGCATTTTTGGTGCGTTTCACGAACGTGTCAATATAGAAGTACTGCTGAAATATGATGGTGACTCTGTTAGAGTCTACATTTATTTCACATTATAAGAATGCAGTTGCAGACGTGAGACATCCTTTTTTAGTAATGCAATGTCTCAGGGGGAGAATGCAGATCCTAAAACCTAGAATTCCATAAAAATAAAGAATGACATTGATTCAGCTGACCAGGTACCACCAAAACTAAAATATATAGATTCGGTTGTTTAGCTTTTGAGGACATGTTAAAAAGCTTAATTAATATATTTCTCTACATAATAGTATCAGTAGACATCACTTTTTGAATTAAAACAAGTCAATAGTAAAATGATTAAGTAGAACAAAGGAAAAGGACCTTCATACTTTGAGGAAATCTTGGTGGATTATCATTGACATCGATGAGTGTAACATTGATGGTAGTTGACCCAGATAGTCCGCCAACTTGACCTGCCATATCCTTGGCTTGAATAACAACGGAATAGTGCTCTCTGGCTTCTCTGTCCATATTAGGTAATGCTGTCCTGATGACTCCTGAAAATGAACACATATCAAAACCTCAAAATTAATATATAATTCTAAAGATATATTATACAAATAATAACGTCAAGATGCATAATATGTATAATATGTATATAAAATGTAGTTCACTGGATTAGTAGAGTGCTGCTTGATGAGGCACATTGTAAAGGTATTATTGTTATCTGGTGCAGAAATGTCAATGAACTTGCATATAAACATTCAAGGAAGCAATATTCTTCACTGACAGCCGCAAGAGAAACATGTAAATATGCCTGTAAACCATGCAATAGCCTGCAAGGGATGCTATCACTGCACTCTGTGTAATTTGCCCAGATGGCAGCATCTGCATAGTAGATACTGTATATGTGTGTATTTTATTTAATTTTTGCAGAAACACTAATTAGCACTATCTGACCTTCAACTTCAGTGTACTATGTTTACAATCCCCAAAATGTTGTATACGTATAGTATACTAGGGCCAGCTGATTACACTATATCTGGACACACATGGCCTGTAATCATGTGTGATTAATCGCTAAAGATCACTATACATGTTGTTGTATGTACCAATGGCACAAATTTGGAGCATTTTACTATCAACAGAAATTAATCAATTCTACATGCTACACTCTCTTTCATTTCACATGTGTTGCAATCATAACTCTGCAACTGAATGTTAGCAATTAGCTATCATGTGCATGATCATTGGAATTAGGGATGCACAGATACTTTTCAAGTACCAGTGCAGATACATTTATATTTATAAAAACAAAATCGTACATTAAAACCGAGATGTACAAATCCCAGGAGCTCAGTGTGCTCCTTACAAATGACAGCTGCCTCCTAATTTTTTAATTTTTCTCTAGTCTAGTATTGGAGCTCAAAGGTATCGGTACATGTACTCGTACTTGTACCAAGTACTGTACTTGGTATCTGTGCAACCCTAATTGGAATGATCATTTTAGCAAAAATTAACAATGAGGGTATACACTAAAGTGGAAGGATGGGTCAATGGGGACTGTGTATGACTTGCCATTATTTACAAATACCCAGCCTTTCTTGCCCCTTTTTTTCCTTCCAAGCAGATCCTTCCCAAATATTTAGTACATCTCAGCAATATACTTCCCTATGTTTTATTCCTTCAAACATGGTGCAATTACATAAAAATAACCGTTGATGTGCCCAGAAATATAGTGTGCTCTTACCATCCCGTGTTGGCCCTGCCTACTTTATAAGTGATGGATTGCAAAGAACACATGAAGACGATGAAGGATCTAGCCGTAGCTTCAGCTGATCCTTCAGCTAGCTTCAGCCCCATGACCCCTTCGGTTCAGTAGAACTGAAGGGCTGCTGTATGGGCTATTCACAATATTCACTATAGCCCGTACAGCTCCCAAAGTGGGCCGGGCTGCTCAATCAAGCCGAAGGCATATGCCTCGGCTCGACTGAGCCGAGGTGAAAGGCGAAGCTGACCGAGTGGTCGGCCATTGGCTGGCCGACAGCCTGCCTTCTGACAGCTGGGCGGAGTCAGCCATGATCTTACGGCTGGCTCCGGCCACTTACAGAGAGATCAGCGTCCATGGTAACCAGGGACACTGATCTCCAGACAGCCCAACTCTCCTGGGCACTCCGGGAGTCTCCCGCTATTAGATAGCGGCTCCCAGCCGCCCGGGAGAGAAACACTCTCTCCCAGAATGGTTTACTCTGCTCGATCGAGCAGAGTAAACCTTTCCCTGCTTTTTTTTTATTCTGACATGGAGCCGTTGACAGCAGCAGAGGGCGGGTGCAATAGCTAGTTTGCTATTGGCTATTGCAAATTGAAATAGCCAATAGGAATTTAGCTATGCATTCCTATGGTGAAATATTTTTTTTTGTTTTGACGGCAGCAGAACCGCCCGGCCAATAGAAAACAGTTGGGTGGAACTAGCTGTCATTGTTTTTTTTCTACTTTTTAAACTATTTTGCTATTCTGCTCGGTGCCACAGAGGCTTTGGCTATTTACTCACTGCTGTTCGGCATCTATGATAATAGACCGAACAGCAGCAAGTAGCCTGCCGGAGGTTCGGCTTAGCCGATCCAGATGTTGGATCGGCTGAGTCGAACTCCGTCTGCACTTCGGGTTGGCCGAACATGTTGAGCATGTTCGGCC